AAAAAAAAAAAAAAAACCGGTTCAGCGGTTTAGCCGAACCGAAACTAAAATTCTATCAACTCAGTTTGGAAAAAAAAAAAAAAAAACTTGCTGAACCGACGACTTATGAACAGTGCTTATGAACAGTAAATAATCATTCACTCTTTTATTAATGTAGGATACAAAATAATAAATTACATTTAAGTAAATACTCCATTCGTCTAATTTATATAGACTAACTTTCCTTATTTTCTTGTCCAGTTATATATTCTTATTCTTTTATTGAAAATATTTTATTTGGTTCATTTACTAATATAACGTTATTTTTTTGCTATTTCCAACAAAAAATTACTATTAGTTATTGATAATTAAATAATGGTAATTAAGAATTTTTTTAATAAAAATTACTTTTTCATAAAGCATTAAATAAGATTTCTTAATCCGCGTAACAAAAAACATCAGCCTACATAAATAGGACAGAGAGAGTATATAATTGGTATATTTATAATAATATTTATCGCTTTGTTACACAATTCAAGGTATTCAAAAAGAAAAATTTCTTTGCGAGCTCAAATGATTAAAACTTAGTTTTTTTTATTTGAAAGAAGAGAAAATATTTTTCCTACTTCAACTTAGTTAGAGATTAGTAAACAGAAAGATGAATAGGTTTTTTTATTTTTCACTCAATTGATTAGAATTTTGATAACTTGTTATCAACTTGGAATAAAATAGAAGAATTTTGTATTTAGGCCACATTATTTTTTTATTCTAATTTTTCTACTCATTTTTAACCACGCATTCTTCAATAAAATAATATTTTTAATCTCCTTCTTTTTCAAGCACATATTTCTCATCACATCAACAGTGAAAATGCATCATTTTTCCAAAAATGTGCACCAAACGACGGCTAATTTACAATAGAAAAGTAATTTTATACTTTGTTTGATGGGCTTTCATCAAAATTCTTTTTCTTACTTGATTCTTTTCCACCATATATGTATATAACAAAATATTTTATACTTAATTAAAAAAAAAATTTCAAACTTTTAATAACACATTCTTAACAAATTCATCATTCAAAATATTATTTTTGCCAAATAATGGTCAAAGATGGTTGTAGAATTGTCCGTTTGGTACAGATTTTCTTTGGGAAAATTGCGGCCGCGGTCCCAAACCTTTCATTTTGTTGCAGATTACACCCAAACCTTTAATTTTTGCAGTCGAAGTCCCAAACCTTTATATGTAATAGCAGCGTCGGTCCCAAACCTTTACTTGTTGCGGTAGAAGTCCCAAATATTTGTACATAATTGCAGCGTCGGTCCCAAACCTTTGTATGTAATTGCAGCGTCGGTCCCAAGCCGTGAATTCCGTCCGTAAAACCGTTAGTCAACGTTGAAACAGTAATTTTGACTCGGAAAAATTACANACACATTCTTCAATAAAATAATTTTTTCCATCACATCAATACTTTTTTCTTCTTTTTCAACCACACATTTCCCATCATATCACTATTCAAAAATCAATTTTTCCCCAAAAATCCATACCAAACACTCTTGATGAATAGTTGGAGACTACTTGTAAAATCAATTTTATGAGATTCGATCACTTGATAGAGAAACGTAAGAGGGTAGTTTTCTGGAATCATAGGAAAAGGAAGAGGAGGAGGGAAGTTTTAGTAAATCAAAGCCCTAATTCTGATCACCAGACCAAATTGGAAAATTCAATTTAGGCCTGTAACCCTGGCTCATTTCTCTTTGGCCGTGGTATTCGAAGCAAAGGAAAGGCATTGAGGTTGAAATAGACTCATCGACTGGTGAGTTTTCTAAACCCTTCCCCTTTTTTCTTAAAAAATGATCATTTTTTGTATGATTTATTTTTCCGCTTGCTGGAGTCTGATCTGCTTTATTACAATGGCTGCTAGTTTTTTATGTTCTTGATTTACTGATTTTCTTCATTATTACAATTATCATGTTCGATACAATTGAATTTGCGTGAACCTGATGTTGCTATGGACTCGATATCTCAAGGATATAAATTGATTGCCTGTGTAAAGTTACTTTTGGGATTTAAATAGGAGATATAATGCAACCTATAAAGGCTGATCATCGTCGCAAGACTTAAGGAACGAAGAACATTAGCTCCAAGCAAGATAGTCGGAAAGGGCGGAAGAAAATGTATCTACTGTCTAGCCAAATCTGACCAGAATAGCACCAGGAAATCTCACTAAAAGGGATTGGATTCAATGAATCCATTTCACTGTACCGGGTTTGAAACAAACAATTAAACAAGCTATAAAAGGAACCAAAGAAAATTATGTTTGCAACTTAAAGAAATATAGGCATTTTTTTTTTTTTCAAAACAAGTGTGTTCCCTCCTCTGAAGATTTGAAAACAGTTAACTGTTGGGCTTAGACTGTTCCTGTGCCTTTGTAAACTCTCCAACAGTCAAGGGTCCCTTTTCTACACCACCTGTGTTACAAGATAATTTAATAGCCGCTCGAGCTTTTTCAAATTTATCACAAAATGTATACTGCTGTTCTCTGAGAGTTCATTTTTTGCAAGTTCAAGGGACTGAGATCATCATTTTGTCGAAGTATTGGTCTTAATCTCTGTTGGGATCATTGGTGCTTTTCTGGGTTCTATGACCAGGTTTACTTTCTTTGGCAGACTTATCTTTTGAACTTAGGTCGGTTCAATTTTACACAGCATACATTTTGTTATCCATGGCATACATCGTAGTATTGTTATCTGCAGATTATGAGTTATAATACTCACAGCCTTCTGATAGAAAAACACATGCCAGCATTGTCCTCCCAAATTTTTTTTTTGGATTAAATTACCTGAAATTATAATGGGAATGCTTGTATTATTTCAGTTTATTGTTCTTGAAATAAAAATGACCTTATCTCGAGCAATTTTGCCACCAAGATTTTGCTCGATACGATGTGAAACTTAGATAGAAGCTGATGCAGCAAAAAAAGAAAAGAAGATGAACACGACAATCTACAACCTATTGATTCAAAATTTAATGCCGATTTGGATTGAAAGAGAAGTGGAAACCTCTGCACTTCATGATTTTATTCAATGAAAAACTACTGCCTCATCCCTCTTTAACGAAGTTTATTTATGACCCCATAAAGACTAAAGCTGTAAATAGAAAGTTGTAATGAAAATAAACAAAGTGCAATTAAATAAAATAAGTTGCCATCAATTAAGTTCCAGCAGAGTGCATCTAGTTCAATCCTCCTTCGATCTGCTGTTATTATGAATGAATTGGGTTATGCCACAAAATAAGCTGTCATTTCAATCATCCTGTCCTGTGAGCTGCTCTTATTATGAATGAATCGGGCCATGATATAAAATAAGGTATCATCTGGTAAGCTCCAATTGAGACCATTGTTTCAATCCTCCCTTTATTTGTTCTTCTTTGATTGGGTAAATTGGGCCATGAAGTTGTTGACAAGGCTCTCATGTGCATCAGATGCAATAGTCACTAAGATCATATTGAATATACTAACTCAATGTTGAGTTATTTTTATATGAAGGATGAAATGGCAGCACTGCTGCATCTGTCAATTTACTTCCTTTTTATATCTTGTACTATTAAAAGCATGATGCTAATTTGAGACCTTACATTGGGACTCGTTTATGAGACTCGGCGTCTTAATTCTGTGTCAGATTCTTTCTGGTTTCTGAAATAGAATATGATATATTTTTGTCAGACTTCCTGAGGCTGCATGGCTTCTTAATTTTGTACGTCAGTCTGCGTTTTCTGAAATAGAATACGATATATTTTTTTCAGGCTTCCTGAGGCTGCATGGCTACGTTGGCGAGTTTTGCATAGATGGCAGATTCTATTTGCTTACAGATCTTGCGTATACGTCAAATATTTGCTGGAGATTGAAACTGAGTTCGTCAATGGTAAACCTCAAAGCCCCCGACCGTCCAATTATATCTTATAGACCTATTCGACCCTCAGATTTAGAGGTTCTTGAGAATATTCACGGTGATCTATTTCCTATCAGGTCAGATGATCTTGTGTCATTCTTGCTGAAATGTAATTGGAGCTTTGAGATGACAATTTGATAGTTTACTGAGAATAAGTTTGTGATCTTTTTAGGTATGAGTCTGAATTCTTCCGCAATGCAGTCAATGGTCATGATATTGTGTGCTGGGGAGCTGTTGATCGCAGTCGGCCCAATGCTCAGAGCAATGAGCTTATTGGGTTTGTGACTGCCAGAATTGTTTCAGCAAAAGAAAGTGAGGTGAGCATTGATCTACTTAGGAATTATAAATTAGGCCTTACACATAAAAATATTGATTTCAAACCAGATAAATGCCTAAATATTACTCGGAGCCTCTGGAAACTGATTTCTCATTTAAGATTTTACTTCTATTAGATATAGCATCTCTACTATTGATTATAGGTTTTAAGGATTTTCTGCTATTAATGCTATCAAATTTACCTTTGCACTGCAGGTAGAAGATTTTATCAGTTTTGACTCGTCAAAATCAGACCAAACACTAATATACATCTTGACGTTGGGAGTTGTAGAATCTCATAGAAATCTTGGAATTGGTAACTCTTCCGCACACACTCCATCATGTTCTCTCTTCAGGATAAATTTCCTTCTCCTTTTTGAAAATTGTTTCTTCTGAATATTCTCTGGTTTTTTTATTTTCAGCTAGTGCACTTATCCACAAGGTCATAAAATATGCCTCAAGTATCCCAACTTGCAGAGCTGTATATCTACATGTGATTTCATATAATAATGCTGCCATCCATTTGTACCAGAAAATGTCCTTCCAGTGTGTACGACGGTTGCACAATTTTTACTTTATCAATGAGCAGCATTATGATTCATACCTGTTCATCTACCATGTAAATGGTGGTCGATCTCCTTGCTCGCCCCTGTGAGTAAAAGCTCCCCTCATGATCTTCTAAGGATAACTTAAAATTATTTTCTTAGTGTATGTTTGTAAAAGGATTTTGTGCATTATAAGTTGTGTCCTACGGAACGTGTGGATGAAGTTTGCAACTTAATGAAGCCATATACCACGCCAGGGCCGGGTGGACCCGACCCAGTCATCAATAGGAGTGTTGAAATAAAATATAATAAGAAAGAGACAATTGGCAATTTTATGTGTCCTCAATATTGCTTTATTTGAAGATTTGGAACAAAAATTGCAATCTCGAAGTATAATGAGTATATTCTACACTCAGCATAAGCTTCGCAGGATATGAGACTGCTGCACTGGATCCCCTGACTGATGAAACACTCGATCTGATTTTGTTTCGTACTACTTGTGGTACATTGAAGACATGCATGTTATCTTATGTCAAACTTTATGTACTGTCATTTCTTTTCATCGAGGAATTTTTGTTCGGACAAGTATTTTCACAGCCTGAAGATCCTCAGTTTGTAAAACAGATGAATAGTTGATATACCTTAGGTTAAATTATGAAAACCTGTTCAAAGGAAATAATTACATGCCGAAACACACTGAAGTTTTAATTGATTGCACTTTTTAATTATGTATTTAATTACTCAAAATGGAAGCTTTTATAACTATGGTGCTTTAATAATCCATTTTCGTTTCATCTGTTCACTGCCATTGCTTCCCTCTAGTCTTGTCATCTTTATACTTGGCTTGGTAAGAGGAGCCATTCGTCTTCTTCCACAAAGTGCTAGGCAATATGTTAACTATCATCCAGATATATTTTACGGTTTGCATTTTTGAATCAATATGCTTTACTAACAAGTACGCTTTGAATTTGCAGAGAGCTTGGCAGGCATTTGGTAACTTGTGTGAAGAGCAGATTTAACTTAATGGTTGCAAAGCTGTGGAGAAATGAAGACAGGAAGATTTCTAAATGGCCTGCGAGCAAAGAATCTAGTTACCTTCTCCCAATGGTTCAAAATAAGAGAAGTGTCACAGCTGAGGTTGCTCGGTGTCAATATATCTAGTCTTTGCATCTTCATGGCTTCTATATACCCGTTATATTGTGTAATTGGAAACAGGAAATAAGGTCATAACTATATTTTGAGTTATCTGTATTAAAGTTCCCTGGCATGGAGACGCGGCTGCTGGATAAGTTAGCTGATATGTTGTATATTACAAGTTCTGTGTAGGGTTATATCTAATTCCTGTAATCTTTTGTTTGTTTGAAACTAGAAAGGGTACAAGAATGCATAGATTAAAATCCAAAACTTTGATGTCTGATGTCTTTATCTATATTTGGTAATATTAAATGGTAAATTAAAACTAAAAATAAATATACAACATATAAATATTCGTGCTACTTTTCTTAATGAAGTTTATATTTTAAGATGAAATTATAAGTTTTAGTATGATATTAGGCGAGAAAATTGACGTCTAAAGATCAAATATACACTATTGAATTTTAGATTGGTGTTATTAAATGTGTTTTAAGTAATTTTAATTTTGTTTTGTTTAGAGGTTTGAGCGAGTGAAGTATGAAGCGTTTGTTTGGTTTTGATTAAAAAATTAAAATTAGACGTTTAATAGATTTTAATGAAAGTTCATGAAATTTGTGATTGAAAAATAAACGTTATGGACCGCATGAAATGTACAATTGAAAATAATTTCGATAAAAAATGAGTTTTAAGAAATTGAGGCCAAATAGGGACAAAAAGAAAAAAAAACCCCAGTGGACAAGTTAGTGGACAGTGAGAAAAATTGTCCAATAAAAAAAACTAAGGGAAAATTTTCATAATTCAAAATTTTTATTATGAAAATAAATAATAATTAATTTATATAAGATAATAATGTGAGCATAATTAGTAGTTATTAAATGATTATTATTTTTTCTCTCTGTCATATTCCTTTCTTGAAAAAACAGCCAATTACGCGTACACCATTTTAATACATTTGAAAATAAGGAAAGAATAAATCGTGTCTCCATGGATTCATAAATTCTTCCACACGTTATCCGATCACAATCAACACTCTACATAATGAAAAGCAGGGCTAGACAAAGCCAAAATGTGTTTTAAGTAGTTGTAATTTTGTTTTGTTTAGAGGTTTGAGTGAGTGAAGTATGAAGCGTTTGTTTGGTTTTGATTAAAAAAATAAAATTAGACGTTTAATAGATTTTAATGAAAGTTCATGAAATTTGTGATTGAAAAATAAACGTTATGGACCGCATGAAATGTACAATTGAAAATAATTTCGATGAAAAATGAGTTTTAAGAAATTGAGGCCAAATAGGGACGAAAAGAAAAAAAAACCCCAGTGGACAAGTTAGTTAGTGGACAGTGAGAAAAATTGTCCAATAAAAAAAACTAAGGGAAAATTTTCATAATTCAAAATTTTTATTATGAAAATAAATAATAATTAATTTATATAAGATAATAATGGGAGCATAATTAATAGTTATTAAATGATTATTATTTTTTCTCTCTGTCATATTCCTTTCTTGAAAAAACAGCCAATTACGCGTACACCATTTTAATACATTTGAAAATAAGGAAAGAATAAATCGTGTCTCCATGGATTCATAAATTCTCCCACACGTTCAGGCTAGTGTTAGTTGTGAGATGTAGTCATAGTAGGAAATCATTTGCATTGCATCATTTGCATGCCACCAATAATCGGTAATCTGCGTATTTTTGGTAGAAGGGAGGCATTTAAAATTCTACTTCCACTATGACAAGCAAAAATTTGTGGGTATATTTAACTGTGTTCGTTTGAAATGCAATAATTTTGACCTCCGTAATTCACGTATTATAATAATACGTGTCATGTCACGAAAAAATGAAATTCAACAATTGTGACCTCTGTGGTCGATGATGTGTGACCTATATACGGGACTTTATTTTCTACCGACAGTTGTGATTATGGTAATTGTGGCGTTCTTAGTAGTGCACAATGAGGGAAAAGAATGCAAGTAACATTCGTTTGTCTCCAAATAACATTAAAAGGGTAAGTTAATCCAGTTTTGTTTAATTTGAATTATACATTATCCTAATTAACGAGATTCTGGATAAAATAAAATAAATAATAAAAAATATTTATTAAAATAAAAATATCTAATTACTGAATAAAAAAGTTATTACCTGATTTTTAAGATGAAAACTTAGAAGTATGGTATCCTCTATTTTTCTCATTAAATAATATCCTTAGAAGTCACGAGTCAAGTTGTGCTAGATCTATCTAATGGCTTGAATAATGAAACATTTGGAGATTACGATTTAGACTTGTAAAACATAAAGCTCTCCTAATTAATTCCCATTTTAAATAATTTTGGGATAAAAATATTTAGAGCATGTTTGGCTAAGCTTAAAATTCAATTAAAATTGAAAATATAGCCGTTATTGGGTCCTACTCCTCTAATAAAAGTCAACAATAACGGCTAATTTTTAAATTTTAATCCGATTTTAATCTCTACCGAACACGCCCTTAGTGCCTTCGATATCCAATCCGAACTTGTCCAAATCTGCTCTCTAAACTTGTTATCTCCTTAATCATCGCCAATAGTTTTTTGACACATTTACACATCGTCTCTTTGTAAACGTTAAATTATTTTTTGACATATCTACACAACGCATTGATGTCTTCCCATGTACGAATAATATATATATATATATATTGTAGATTTCAATTTCCTCCTGGCATCCGAACTAATAAAGGATTTTCGAAGAAAGACCGAATAAATCCTTTATTAGTTCGGATGCTGGGAGGAAATTGAAATCTACGATCATTTGGCAATGATTCTAGATCAATTATTTGTTTTTTGAACGCTTTAGTTTAGTGTCACCATAATCTTCGCATTGAAAAGTCGATTTTTCAGCATTCAAATAAGTCAATTATATACTTTTTTTTACAGCAAAATTTGAAATGGCAAATCTCAACACAACAAATCCAAACTATCCAAGTTGGGTGAGGAGTTGCATCTTGCACGTGTGACCATTGATGGTCAAATACTATGCAAACTGCGGTCTAAGCTGGGCAACTATATACAATTTTTTTCTTCATAGCCGCAATACGATAGAGGCACTTGATGGCCGGAACAGGCTCTTTTGGGGGCGGGGTGTAATTTATTAAAAAAAATTAAAAAAGGTCATTAAAACTTTGTTTAATTACTTATGACTGACCATCACTCTCATCTCAGTAAAACACTAGTTGCCTTGTTCAAAGTCATATCATAATTTTTCTTAAAACAAATTATATTAAATCACTTAATTAATGCTAACCTCGTGGAAAACAACCTATTTTCTTTAAATTAATTAAGTAATGATGTAATGAAACTAATGATAGAGAAATAATTGTGTTTAATTAATACAAAATAAACGAAATTTCCGACCAGAATCAGAACCAGATCAAGAATGCTTTGAATGAATAAAGAAAGCCATGTTTACACATTTTTCATGCACGGTGATGGAGACGGCTGACTCCAAAATTCTTGTTTTTGCGTGTCATGAACCTTCGGAGAAGGGGCAGTAAACTATAGTTTTTCTCTACTGAGTTATAGAACTTCAACTGGGTCATTGAATTTCAATTTTATTTCATATTTCATAGCTATGTCACTTGACATCTCTAAACTTAGACTTTGTTTGGTGGCCACTTTTTGGGAAAAAAATTGTTTCTAACAGTGAACTTTTGAAAAAGGGTAAAGCCATTTGTACCCTGGCGTGTAAACGCCAGGGTACATGGCCCCACCGCCCCCCTCATTGTGAGGGGGCCCAGATGAATTAAAAAATGAGGCGGGCCCCCCCATTGTGAGAGGGGAGTGTGGGGTCGGGTAACCCGGCGTGTAAAACGCCGGGTACCCATAACAGGACCCTTTAAACAAATGAGATGTATATGAATCAACATGAAATTTAATTAATTTGAATCAATTAATATAGAAAAAGAATAATATATACATTTAGACAAATGGCGTTATATCATAGATTAAATGAATAATATTGAAATTAAATAAGTGTACACGAACTTGAATAATTTATTTACTCCTATAATAATTGAAGAGCTCTCAAATTATATGATCTTTAATAATTTATATACTGTTGGAATAATTTATGATAAAACGAATAATTTTGAAAATAAATATGTGTTCATGAACTTGAATAAGTTATTTACTTCTTAAATAATTGAATAACTCACAAAACATGTGTACGTGAATTTGATAACTTAATGTTAACTTTTATATATCCATAAGTAAATGTT